GCTCCAGGGACCTCCCCACCTCCCAACAGCCGGCCTCTGGCTCCAGGAATGTCCCTGGCTCTTGGCTTGTGAGCTTCTTGGGGCAGGGACTGGCTGCGCTCTGGGGTGCTGGCTCTCACGCGCCCCGAGGGGGATCCCAGAGCTGACCCCGCAGGGCTAGTAAGGGGCTCCCCTGGGGCTGGGAGAGGGCAGGGTTGGCTCAGGAGCACCCCATCCCGCCCAGCCGGGTCTCAGGGCCAGTCTGATTTCACTGCGAGCGGCCCCACTGGCAGGTTTCTGGGGCACAGGGGGTGTCCCCTCCCGCCATGGTGCCCCAGCTGATGGAGCAGCCCAATGACACTGCTACAGGGAGGGTGGGAACAGGGCCAGCCCACTGGCATTGTCAGGGGGTGGGGGAGTTAGGCCAGCCCACTGGCACGAGTGGGGAGGGGAGGACAGGGCCAGCCCACTGGGAGGGGGGGGGGGGGGGGCACATCAGGCTCAGGGAAGTTTGGATTTTTCAAACTCCTGAACCTGGTTCAGCTGGGAGGTAGCTTCATTGGGCTCGTTCCCATGGCAACCACCTGCAGGGAGGGGGACGGGACATACCCATTCAGAAACTCAATGCTTCCCAAGGGGGCTCGGTCCATCACCCATCGAATGGAGCCCAGCCACAGGATGCTGGCCAAGGGCTAGGATAGAACCCAGGAGTCCTGACCCCCAGCCCCCCACCAGGGATGTGTGTGTGTGTTGGGGGCGGAGGTTAGCAGATCCCCACAAGGGATGTGTGTGTGTGTGTGAAGCACATCCCCACACAGGGATCTGGGGGGGGGGAGAGTAGCACATCCCCACGCAGGGATGTGTGTGTGTGTGTTGGGGGCGAAGGTTAGCAGATCCCCACAAGGGATGTGTGTGTGTGTGTGTAGCACATCCCCACACAGGGATTTGGGGGGGGGGGGGGGGGGCAGCTCCCCCCACAGGGGGGGGGGGGGGGGGGGGGGGGGGGGGGGGGGGGTAGCACATCTGGACATAGTCGGGGCCCTTGCTCCGTGTGTCCCAGGGAGGGGGGGCCTCACCCTCCTTGCTGAGCCTACTGTCCATAGCACGGAGTGAGCAGCCTGATGGGGGAGGTCCTGCGCCCCCTTCCTGCCATGGGGCCCGGCCCTTCTCCCGCTTCTCCCCTAACGCTAATGACACAAACCACCTGGGATTATTTTCACGTGATGCACAAACAAGTCAAAACTCACTGATCCAAACCCAACGTGCAAACAGAAAAGGGAACGTAGAGGCCGCCCTCCCTCCCTCCCCCCGCCCGGCCCGGCCCGTACCAGTGCCCCACCTGCCCCACACTGCACGCTGTGGGGCCAGGAGCCCAGCTTCGCAGCCGGCAAAGCAAACGTTATCCCACAGAAAGGAGCTGCAGTCATGCGCGGGTGCATGGCCACACCCGCCATGGCCCGCCCGCAGCCTCCTCCCAGCGGGCGCCGCCGCCTGGCGGGACTGGATGGCAAACAGCCCTGCTGGACAGCACTGTGGTGTCCCGGTGCCCGGGGGGGCGTGGAGGTGGCACGGCCAGGTCTTCCAGTGGGGGCGGGGCCGGCAGGAGGAGTGGGGAGCTGCTGCTGCGTCCTTAGTTTGGGGACAGGTCGCTGGTTTTACCAAATGCCGCTAGACCTGCCTCCGGGGGGAGCGAGAATCCGGGCCGAAGCTCGCTTTGGAACGTGGTCATCGATCTGAGAACCTGCAAGGAGAGGGGCAGCGGGTCAGCACCACGGGGAGAGGGAGGGAGAGAGATCCCATCCCCGCCCCGCCGGGGCCCCCGTCCGACACTGCTCCCACACCGACACCGACGCCCCCGCCCACCCAGTCCAGGGCCCCCGCCTGGCACTGCTCCCACACCGACACCCCTGCCCACCAGTCCAGGGCTCCTGCCTGGCACCATTCCCACACTGATGCTCCCACTCACCCAGTCGAGGGCCACCGCCTGGCATAGCACCCACTCCAACACCCATGCCCACCCAGTTCAGGGCCCTGGGATGGCACTGCTCCCACACCGACACCCCACCTGGCACCACTTCTGTACTGATGCCCTCGTCCACCCAGTCCAAGGCCCCCGCCCGGCACCCACCCCGACGCTCACCCAGTTCAAGGCCCCGGGACGGCACCGCTCCCACACACCCTCCACCCAGTCCAGGCCCCTGGGAGAGCGCCGCTGACACACCCACCCCTGCCCACCAGTCCAGGGCTCCCGCCCGGCACCATTCCCACACCGATGCCCCACTCACCCAGTTGAGGGCCACCACTCGGCACAGCATCTACACCGATGCCCATGCCCATGCCCACCCAGTTCAGGGCCCTGGGATGGCACTGCTCCCACACTGACACCCCACCCACCCAGTCCAGGGCCCCCACCTGCAGAGGTGAAAGTAAGCCTGGGGTAGTGGCAGGGCTCCAGGGGCTATTTAAAGGGCCCGGGGCTCCCGCTGCCTCTACAGTCCCGGTCCTTTAAATAGCTGCTGGAGCCCTGGGGTAGCAGCGGCAGCTGGGGGCTCCGGCAGCGGTTTAAAGGGCCCGGGGTGGTAGCGGCGGCCGAGCCCTGGGCTGCTACCCCAGCGGGGGAGGGCACTTACCGGTACAGGGCAGGCCGGGGCTGGCTCTGACCCCCTATCCCCGCCCCTTCCGCCCGAGACCCCGCCCCTTCCAGGGGCCAGAGCCGGCTCCAACCCAGCCCCGTACCGGTAAATCCCTATTTCTACTTTCACCCCTGCCCACCTGGCACCACTCCCGTACCGATGCCCTTGTCCACCCAGTCCAAGGCCCCCACCCAGCACAGCAGCCACACCAACGCCCACACCCACCCAGTCCAGGGCTCCTGGGACGGCACCGCTCCCACACTGCCGCCCCCGCCCACCCAGTCCAGGGTCCTGGGATGGCATCGCTCCCACACCGCCGCCCCTGCCCACCCAGTCCAGGGCTCCTGGAACGGCACCGCTCCCATACCGACGCCCCTGCCCACCCAGTCCAGGGTCCTGGAACGGCACCGCTCCCATACCAACGCCCCCGCCCACCCAGTCCAGGGCTCCTGGGACGGCACCGCTCCCATACCAACGCCCCCGCCCACCCAGTCCAGGGCTCCTGGCCAGCACCGCTCCCATACTGACGCTCCTGCCAAAGCCTCCCCCATGTGTACATGAGCTTTGCGCTGAGGGTGGGCACATGAAGCTGTTACCAAGCTCTTGCTTTCCTGGTGTCCCAGCTCTGAGCTGGCACCAATCCCTTTGAGGCATTAAGGGGAGAGAATGGGAATCCAGGGCAGCTCCCAAGGGCCCCATGCTGCCCAGAGCTGGGCACCTGCCCGCGCCACGCCGGCAGTTATGCATAGTCCTAAGAGCAGAGTCCCACTGCGCTAGGTGCAGAATCCCTGGAGCTATGTCTGGGGCGGCCAGGCCTCTCCCATCACACCCAGCAAGGAGAGTGGGAACTCAGGACTGGCTCTGGCAACTTTCCTGGCTCAGGCAGCGTTAACAAAAACAGGGAGTTGGTCAAGGACATCCTCGTGGATGCCCCAAAATGCCATGTTTCCACAAAGAAATTATGCTGGGAAAAAACCACCCAGAAATGTGGATGAGGCGCTAAAACAAAAATCCCATATCTAAAGGGTGGGGAAAGGGAAAGTAAACGGCAATGAATGTAAATTACATGTTCAACATTGTAGGTGACTGTTAAGGGAAGCCAAAGGAATCAACGAAATATCAATGGTCAACAGGGTTAAAGAGAATAAGAAGGCATCTTGTAATTGTATTAGGAGTAAGGAAACCCCTAGGTCAGGCACAGGTCCAGAGCTAGAGGGTAAAGCCTTAAAGAGCAATGTGTAAAAGGCAGAATCATTCCATAGCTGGTTCTGGGCTGTGTTCGGGACGAAGCAGGAAGATGTATCCATCCCAGATGATGTTGTGGGTGGGACATAAAGTTACCATTGTAACAAAGGAGGATGTGGGCAGCATCTGCTCCAGTTAAACACTTTCAAATCAATGGGCCTGGATAAGCGACATCCCAGAGTCTGAAAGGAACCACCTGAGGAGCTCTCTGAACCAGTAGGGTTAATTTTTAACAAATCTTGGGAAAGCTGGGACACCGCAGAGGACTGGGGGGCTGCTAGTGTAGTTGCAGTATTAGAAAGGGGCAAAAGGGACGGCCCGAGAAGTACAGCCCTGTTACCCTGACATCGATCCTGGGCACAACGGCATGGTTTATTTCACTGGAGTTCACCATGACATTGGACTCAGTACCGCATGACAGTCTGGTTAAAAAACCTTGCACTATATGGAATGAGCAGATGGATTACAGCTTGGCTGACTGACAGATCTCAGAATGGAGTTATTAACGGAGACCCATCAGTGAGCGGGCCTGTTTCTAGCGAGGTCCCACTGCGATCAGTTCTTGGTCCAACATGAGTTAATATATTTATCACTGGCTCACGCAGGAGATAAATCTTTGCTGGTAAAGTTGGCAGATGACACACAGATAGGTGGGACAGTAAATAACAAGGACAGGATCCTGCTACAGAGTGAGCCGAACTGCCTGGTTAAATGGTCACAATCCAACAAGATGGGTTTTAATACAGCCAATGCCAGGTAAGGCCAAGAACGCAGATTCTATCTACAGGGCGGGGGAGACTGTCTTGGAAAGCAGCGACACATCTATAGCCTGGAGCTGGAAGAGTAAATTTCAGCTCACAGAGATTTAGGCAGAGGAGAGAGAAGAAGAGCCACAGGAGGCCGATGTGGCTGCCTAAGGAGCTCTTTCGCTGTCTAAAACCCAAGAGGGATCCACACAGGAAATGGAAGGAGGGCACGTCCCCAAGGAAGGGTACATGGGAATAGCACAAGGGTGTAGGGACAACATCAGGAGAGACAAGGAAAGAATGAGTCGCAGCTGGCGAGGAATGTTCGAGACAACAAGAGGTTCTACAAAACAGAAAGATGAAGGAGAGGTGGGCCCATGGCTCAGCGGAGGCGGTGAGCTGATAACGGAAGATGCGAGGAAAGCAGAGTTGCTCAATGCCTGCTTTGCTTCAGTCTTTTCACTAAAAATACCATGTGACCGGACAACTAGCAAAGTTCCTCTAGACAATAAAGGGGGAGGGCTGCGCATCGGGCTAAGTAAAGCTCTTCTGACCAATCTGGATGAATTCAAGTCAGCGGGGCTGGATGTTAGTCACCCCAGGGTGCTGAAGGAATTAGCTGAAGAAATCTCAGCCCTACTGGCAATAATATTTGTGAACTCATGGCTGACAGGTGAGGTTCTGAAAGACTGAAGAAGGGCTGCCATAGGGCCCATCTTTAACAACGGGGGAAAGGAGGAGCCGGGGAACTACAGACCAGTCAGCCTGGCTTCGATACCGGGGAAGCTACTAGGGCCATGTATAAAACATTCCATCTGCAAATACCGGGAGGATGGAGGGTGATCACTAGCAGCCAGCATGGCTTTACCAAGAACAAATCATGCCAAACCAGCTGGATTTCCTTCTCTGACAGGGTAACTGATTTGGTGGACGGGGGAATGCAGCGGACATAATATACCTGGACTTCAGCCAGGCTTCTGACACAGTCCCACAGGACAGTCTCATAAGTAAGCTGGAGAAATGCGGGCTCAACAGAACTACCATTAAGTGGATGCATAATTTGTTAAACAACAGCGACCAAAGAGTAACTATGAATGGACTGATGCTGGATTGGAGGGTGGTCTCAAGTGCGGTTCCACAGGGATCATTTCTGGGCCGGGTGTTGCTGAATGCCCTGGAGGTAGGAATCGAGAGCACACGGATCACGTTTGCAGATGACACAAAGCTGGGGGGAGTTGTAAACACTGTGGAGTTTAGAGCTAAAATTCAGAGGGATCTTGAAAAATTGGAGAACTGGGCTATAGCCAACAAAATGAAATTCAGCAAGGACAAATGTAAGGTGCTGCACTTAGGGAAGAAAAACCAAATACACAAATACAGACTGGGGGATAACTGGCTTGACAGCAGCACCGCTGAGAAGGATCTGGGAGTTGTGGTGGATCCCAGGAAGGACAGGCAGGGCAGAAAAGGTGGGGGAGTTGCATTGTATGTAAGAAAGGAGTATGACTGCTCAGAGCTCCGGTATGAAACTGCAGAAAAACCTGAGAGTCTCTGGATAAAGTTGAGAAGTGTGAGCAACAAGGGTGATGTCGTGGTCGGAGTCTGCTAATAAACCACCAGACCAGGGGGATGAGGTGGATGAGGCGTTCTTCCAGCAACTAACAGAAGTTGCTAGATCGCAGGCCCTGGTTCTCATGGGAGACTTTAATCACCCTGATATCTGCT